AGGGTCCTGGGATTGAGCCCCAAATCGAGCTCCCTGCTTAGCGGGAAGCCTGCTTCTACCTCTCCCATTCCCACTGGTTGTGTTCCCTCTCTCGCTATGTGTCTCTCTGTCAAGTAAATAAATAAAATCTTTTTTTTTTTTTTTTTTTAAAAGAAGGCCCTGCACTGTCGCATCTAATAGCCGCTAGCCATATGTAGATATTTACATTTGAATTAATTAGAATTAGATACATTAAAAATTCAAACAGCCATGTTTCAGGTGCTTGATAGCTTCCTGCGGCTACCGGCTATCACACTGGAGAGCGCAGATGTGGCTCTCTACCATCACAGAGAGTTTAATTGCTGTATTAGAAGGTTATTACTGGCAAGTCTTCTTGAAGAATCTCAAAACTTCTCCCAAATCTTTTATTTCTTTTTATTTTTTAGAAGATTTTTTTATTTTTTATTTGACAGACAGAGATCACAAATAGGCAGAGAGGCAGGGAGAGAGAGAGGTAAGCAGGCTCCCCGCCGAGCAGAGAGCCTGATGCGGGCCTCCATCCCAGGACCCTGGGATCATGCCCTGAGCCAAAGGCAGAGGCTTTAACCCACTGAGCCACCCAGGCGCCCCTTTATTTATTTATTTATTTATTTATTTATTTTAAAGAAGGACCAGGCACTTCCATTTCAGGCTTTACAGTAGATGAGATATCCTAAAGACAATTCAGCTAAAAACACCAGAATGTTCTGGCTGCAAAATCAAAAACATCCATTTGCTTCCATTGCTGCTCTCTTAATAAAATTTTCAGAAATGAAACATGTGGGAGTAGAGTCTATGGAATGCTAAGTGGACACTGAAGCTTAAGTTCTAAGAGTGGTTGCTGGTTTCTAGAAGTCTAGAGCCTTGAGCTTTCAGTGCAATGTTTAAGGCACAGGAGACAAGCCCTGGGGGCTAGTAGAAGGTAAGGGACTGGAAGAGAGCATTTCCCTTAGAGCCAAGATCTCTAAGGTCCATCACCTCAATGAAAGGGGCAACTCTTAAAAACAAAACAAAAGCTCCCGCATTAAAGGAGACAAGATATTTAGGAAGGTGATCTGCCTCATCATCTGGCTGTGGAGGGAAGAAAAAAGTGCCCTGAAAATTCATAACCACAGGCCGTTCCTCATGCAGGTAGAATTCAGATTTGTACCATGTGGTCCAGGAAATTCAAATTGAAAATTTAATTTATTTAAGCTGGTCTTGTATTTTTCATTAACCGACTTACTCTGTGCTAAAGTGACTCCAGAAGAAACAGAAAGTCTAAACAGATCTATACCACTTTAAGACATTGAAATTGTGATTTTAAATCTTCCCACAAAGAAAATGCTAGGCCCAAATGGATGAACAGATGAGTTTACCAAACATACAAGGAACAATGAGTTCCAAGCTTAAACTCTTCAATGAATAGAAAAAAGGAACCATTCCCCATCTATTTTTCAAATGAAGAATGACTGACATACAATATTGTATTAGTTTCAGGTGTACAACAGTGATTTAGTATTTATGTACATTACAAAATGGGACACCTGGGTGGCTCAGTCAGTTAAGTGTCTGTCTTTAGCTCAGGTCATGATCCCAGATTCTCCTCCCTCTGCCTGCCGCTCACTCTGCTTATGCTCTCTTTCCCTCTGACAAATAAATAAAATCTTTCAAAAATAATAAAAAAATATATACATTACAAAAATGGTCACTACTATATGTCTTGTTTCCACCTGTCACCATACAAAGTTGTTACAGGATTACTGACTGTATTTCCTGTGCCATACATTACATCCCAATGTCTTAATTATTTTATAACTGGCAAATTGTACCTCTTAATTCCCCTCACCAGCTTCATCCACTCCCCAACTATTTTAGAAGGTTGGTATAACCTTGGAAACACAACCAGAGAGGGCAACACAAGAAAAGACAATTATGGGCCACTTCTACATATGAACAAAGATGCAAAACCCTAAAGAAAATGTTAGCACTCTGAATCCTGTCATTTATGACAGAGGTAGTTTATTCATCATGGACAAATTCAGTTTACCCCCAGAATGTTAAGGCTGGCTTAACATTGGAAAGTCTAATGTTATTCATTGTATTAACTAATTTAAAAGAGGAAAGAAAACACATTGTCTTAGTAGATGGGGACATTTTAGATTAAATTTAAAACAATTTAAGATGTGTAAAACTCTTAACTAGAAACAGGAGACTTACAACTTGTTAAAAAAATTTTGAGGGGGTGGTGCCTGGGTGGCTCAGTGGGTTAAAGCCTCTGCCCTAAGCTTGGGTCATGATCCCAGGGTCCTGGGATCAAGCCCCATGTCAGGATCTCTGCTCAGCAGGGAGCCTGCTTCCTCCCCTCTCTCTCTCTGCCTCTCTGCCTACTTGTGATCTCTCTCTGTCAAATAAATAAACAAAATCTTTTTTTTTTTTTTTAAAGATTGCTATTGTCTCTTTCAGCATACTGGCGGTCTTAGGCAGCACAAAAATACAAGGAACTAAAGCTTTCTGTTTTGTTTTGCAAAATTTTTAAAAGGTTTTATTTATTTATTTGACAGAGATCACAAGTAGGCAGAGAGGCAGAGAGAGAGGGGATGCAGGCTTCCTGCTGAGCAGAAAGCCCAGTGTGGGCTTGATCCCAGGACCCTGAGATCATGACCTGATCTGAAGGCAGAGGCTTAACCCACTTAGCCACCCAGATGCCCCTTGTTTTGCAAATTATATGATTATCTATAGAAACCAAACAAAGTCTGTGGTCTTTTAAGTAATTCAGCAGGTTGCGTAATATTAGATCAATATGCAAAAGAACGGTGATCCTTTCTACCCGTAATAGATAAGAAATATAAAAATACCTTTAGAGTGGCAACAGAAAATATAAAGCACTAAGGAATAAATCTAATAAAAGTGACTGATTATAAAACTTTATTGAAATACATTTCAAGATATCAGTAATGGAGACATACCATTTTTCTGGAGAAAAAGATTCAATGTAAAAATGATCAATTCTTCCCAAATTAATCTCTCATCTCAATATAAGCCTAATAAAAATACTAATAGGCATTAAGACTTCTTAAAAATCATAGTAAATGAGCCAGTGTGTCACTTAGCAGGGATACACAGACACACCCACACATGACAGTATAATGGCAGCAGTGACCTCACGATTGGTAGGAGGAAAGGGTGGACTGACTACTGGTCAGTAAAGAATGGCTATACAAATGGGGGGGAAAAATTGGGCCTTTGACTTACCAACCAAGAACAACAACAAAATCAAACCCAAGCAAAACATCCCAGTGAATTAAAGGCCTAAATGGGAAAGAGCTCCAGAAGAAATTATAGGAATAGGAAAGGATTTCCTAAAGAAGACGCAAAAATACAGATTACAGTAATTGGTAAACATTTTTATATTAAAAAAATAAAGCTTTCTGTTCTTTAAAAGATACATCAAAACTCCTAAAAACATACACAGTTTTAATACAGAGGAATAAAATAATGCCTGGGATTTGCCTCAAAGAGATCCGATGGAAAGGGAATTGGGAGTTATTGATATGAGCTTAGCTCTGAGTTGGTAACTGGTGAAGCTAGGTTATGGGTATATGGGGATTCATCCGATTTTTCTCTTCCCCTTTGGTATATGATATACATAGGATTTCTCATAAAAAAGAGAGAATATTAAATATTATGGCAGTAGGATACCAGCTTCACCCACCAGATCAGCAAACATTTCACACTCTGATGATTCTATGTGTTTAGTAAGAACATGACAAAGTGGGAAATCTCCTACACAAATGTTAGGAACATAAACTGACATAACCAGTTTGGAAGAAAGTGTGGTATTTTCTACCCAAACTGAAGGTGTGTATTTACTCCCCAGCTGTTCCCCATCTGGGAGAAATCCTAGAAAATCTCACCATGGAAGCCTGTACCAAAATGTTCATAAGCTCATTGTTTAAAAAAAAAAAAAAAAAAAAGATTTTATTTATTTATTTGACAGAGAGAGAGAGAGCACAATCAGGCAGAGCAGCAGAGGGAGAGAGAGAAGCAGGCTCCCCGCTGAGCAGGGAGCCCAACTCGGGGCTCTGTCCCAGGACCCTGGGATCATGACCTGAGCCGAAGGCAGTCGCCCAATCAACTGAGCCACCCAGGCACCCCGAGCTCTTTGCTTTTGATAGCAACAAATGGGAAACTACCAAATGTCCATTTGTGGTATATTAACATATCAAAATGAAAGTGAATTTCCTGGCATTACATGCATCCACACGGATAAATCTTACATGTGAGCAACAAAAAGAATTTGTAGAATACAAACATTATAATACCATTTACATACAGTACAAAAGCATGTAAAGGTAAACATGTCAGGGATGTGTTACATGAAAAGCCAAAGAAATTCAAAATTCAGAATCATGATTGCTTCTAATGGGAGAAAGAATGAGAAGGTGATTAAGGACACAAAGGGGGTACCATAGGGATTGTAAGGTTTTGCGGCTTAAGCTGGGTGGAAGGTACGTGTGTGAATGTTGTATTTAGTCTTTTTGTATGTAATAAAATAATTCATAATTAAAATATAAATTTTTTTCATTATATATAAATGTCAAATGTTTTATACCTGAAACTAACATACACACATATCTATATACACATATATCTGTATATATATATACATTTTTTCCAGTAGAAGGAGGGGACATGGGAGGGGAAGGGAGAGAAGAGGCACAAAAGTACCCATCGGGGGAGTAAGTTCATTTTGGTTCAACAACAGGCTTACTAAGAACAGATGAATGAAACTTTATCTGTCCTATGAGGTACACAATCATCTCCCAGAAGAAAAGAGCTGACCTCTCTCGGTACAGGGGTAAAGGACCGCGTAAAAGCATGAGTTCTAGTCAGACCTTTGAGGCTTTGACGAGGCCCACCCGACTGTGAGTGAAAGCATTGGTGGGTGGGCTTCCGAGCCCGCGGTAGGCACTGAGATTTACCTTCTCTTCACTCTGCCTACTCCCTGCCTCCCCCTGTCTATTTAGAATGGTTTCTGGGTGTGTGTCTCTACGACACACACAAAATAAAAATAAATACGGTGCAGTGCGGAATGCGTCTTTCATGTAGTTTTTGGCGTGGACAATGTCCCTGGGAAAGGGAAGGGCAGTAGTGTGTGAAGAACTAGGTACCTGGCCTTTGGGGACACCAGCCCCACTGAAGCGTGGAGTGCAGGCTTCTAGCTTGTGACCCAGGTGAGTCGCCTCTTGGGGGGTGGGACTCATCTCTCTACAGTCCCAAGGGAAGAAGACGTAGGTATGTGCCAGGTTTGTGTGTCCAGCGAGGCGGGAGGCAAAACAGGGGGTATCATCTTGGTGTTAGCACCTCCTGCCACCTACAATTTCTGGCTTCCCCATGGCCATCCTGGCGAGTCCCCAGTTTCTGCATGCCTTCCTGGGGGCAGTCCCCAGCTTGCCCATGACCTTCCTGGGGGAGTCCCCAGCTTGCCCATGGCTTTCCTGGGGAGGCCACAGTAATGGGTGCCCGGTGGGCCGTCTGACCACAGGATTACATAGAAAGTGCTAGAAGCTCTGGTTCCTTACACCTCGTCACAGCAGCTGGAATCCGAGGCCCTGTGAAGCCCCGTGAGGTCCTGTGAGGCCCTGGGCTCTCTAACTCGGTTTTCAGCTTTGCTCCAACTTGCTGGGTCCCGAGGTGATATAAGAAGTATCAGCTGATGGTCTGCAAATCTGTAAGAGACCAAAGAGAATCACAAGGCTTGTCCCCCTTCCCAAATCCTGACGTCTCTGTTTCCCACATCTTCTTTTTTATTTCACTTCCAAACACACGGTAATCCAATTCCCCCCCACCCCCCCGCCAACCCCAGCCCCAGATACCCAATTCCTTCCTAGTATTTGGCACTATTTTGCCTTACTAAGCTAATGTCCATCCTGGCATTTTCCTGGCTGTGGTTGGACATCGCTAACCTGAGTTCAGTGACAGAAACCTAATACTACTAGTACTTACAATAATACCAACTGATACTTTATTGAGAACTTGGCACGTGGCAGGCTCTGCCAGCTACCAGTACTTTCCTGGGCAGGGCCGTGATCTGAACCCCCGTTCAGTGTATATACTTACTTTGGGCCATACCTCATTCTCACTTTACCAGTGGGGAAACCCAAGTACGAAGGGGTCAGACAACTTCCACCGTCTTTTCCAGACCTGCCCTCTGCGCTAATGGGCTACAGTGGCTGCCTCCTCAAAACCAAAGCCAGTCAGACGCTGTGGCCCTGTGGCCCAGCTGCCTTTCTCCCTTGCCCACCGCCACCCCCCGCCCCCAGTAGCTTACAACGCATGACAGCCTCCTTGACCTGCCGAAACCCGCCGTCAGGGCCCCGGCCGTCCACGAAGTACATGAACCGGAGCTCGGCAGGGTAGGCAGCTCTGGTGAGGCCCGACATCAGCGGGATGGTGCGGCCCTCGGACCCGGGGGCCTCGCTCAGGGCCTGCAGCATCTGGTACTTGCACCACGGGTCCCGCAGGAAGCCTGGGGTGATGAGCAGCACCCGACAGTGACTGCTGCTCAGGGCCTGGCACAGCTCGGTCACGATGGCGCCGCCCGGGGTGGCGTCCCGAAGCTGCAGGAAGCAGCGCAGGCTGGCCGTGCTGCCCTCCAGGTAGGAGACCAGCTCCTGGGCGGCCACCAGGTCCTCCTCACTGTGGCACACGCAGACATCGTAGTCCTTGCTCCAGCGGCCGCCGCCGCTGCTGCTGCTGGTGCTGCTGGCACCCCCGTGTGTGGGTGGGGAGGTGGGAGACCAGGCTGAGCTGAGGCCCAGGGCGGGGGGTTCCTCCTGGGAGCTCGGCTGGGAAACATCCCTGGAGGTGCTCTCTGCAGGGTCCAGCGGCTTCTTGGGCTTCGACAGGGCCTGCCGGAACCAGTCTGTGGGGGACAGAAATGCTGCTCAGGTCGGGTCTGCTCAGCAGACCGCGTCCGCATGGCCCTACACAGGGGACCCCACACCCAGCAGGTCTGCCCGTGGCCCCGCATGGGAAAACCGTGCCACCTGACTCTCAGAGACCTACCGCTCTGCTCTTTTGTTCATCCTTCGGGACTTGCCTTCAGGGTCCCATTATCTTCAAAGGTTTGGGGAGGTCATAAAAACTCTGGCTCTTTTATGAGTCACAAGAATGTAACATACAGCATATGGGCTCTAGTTAGTAATACTCTATTCCCTATTTGAGAGTTGCCAAGAGTGGAAACCTTCCAAGTGCTCATCACAAGAGAAAAAGTTCTGTGATTATGCATGCTAATGGATGGTAACTAGACCTTGTGGTGATCATTTCACAATATATACAAATATTGAATTATTTTATTGTACTGCTGAAACTAATATAATGTATGTCAATTATACTTCAATAATTAAATAAACAAAATGCCTTTGGGGTAACAACAATATGGGGCAAAGAAAAAAAAAAAAGAAAGGAAAGGAAAGGACTCTGACTTCTACCAGCCTGATTAGGAGAGATGCCTTTGCCCTATTCTAGGCCTTTTGATTTCTAGTACTGTCAGCTCACTCTACCCCCAAACTCCCCACTAGTGGTGACTAGCCGACCATCGGCTCGTCTGTAAGCAGAGCCATGGTAAGCTGGTCAGGATTAATCAATTCCCAAACCCACTTTCTCTTGTAAGGGGAGGTGGATTTAGATTAAGGTGGGCTACCCTTTATGGGAGGGAAAGGAGGGAAGGATTGGCATCCTTTTGGCCCCGAGAAGTCCCAGATTTCTAAATCTGTTGCTAAATGTTAAAACAAAAGCCTGGAAGAGGGTTACTGCTCAGAGTTCCTGAAAAGCAAAGTCTAGTGATTACAACCTACACTTTGGAGCTAGGCATCAATCTGATTGTGGACCTACACCTTGCTTGCCGTATGACCATAAGCAAGTCAGTCTACATCTACCATTTCCTCATCTGTAACATAGGTTCATTTTAATTGTTGTTGAAGATTAACTGAGATAATGCAGTGCCTGGTATATTCAAGTATTCCATAGTGAGATCAGCTCAGCTTCCCCAGCTTTTGATAAGAACAGACAGTTTAGTGTTCTGGAGATTAATTTGTTTTCTCACTCTGCTTGGCTCCTTCCTCTGATAGGTTTAGAAAGACTTTGACGAGAAGTGCTCAGCACCAGGGTTTCCAGGTTAGGAATATTAGCTTAGCATGCATGGAAAAACTGTGAGCCCAGAGCACCAAGGTTCTATGATACATGCCTCTCTCCTCACTCACCACAAAGCATGGGGGCTCTGAGGTCAAGGCCGGAGCCCAGGAGCCCACCATCATCAGCCTCCCCCCATGTCCTGCTGCATGTGGACCAGGCAGCCCTCCCACTTCACGCACTCATAGCTGTGAACACAGTGGAATTAGGAGTTGGCTTCCACTCACCAGCCATCTTGCCCAGAGGCTTCTTGGACCGGGAGCGAGGAGCTGGGAAGGAGGATGATGATGATGCCATAGTAGGGGGCTCAAAACTAACCCCATGAGACCAGGCATTGGTAAAGTGAATGAAGGGAGGGGACTCAGTCTTGACCTTATGGAACAGCCATCCTATAAGAGACAGAGAGACAGGATCACAAAAATTGTACTTACATTACTCTCAGTCCCAGTGTGAGCTCTAGATGTTCTCTCCTAATGCCTGACTGAGCCTCAGCCCCTCTACTTGTCCCTGATCCCTATCCCACATCAACCACTGTGATTGGGTCCGGCTTCCAGAAAAACCCAGATCTGTGGAGAGTGGCGTGACAGAGTGAGAGCCCAGGGTGAGCTGTTGAGTGACTGTCCCCTGCTGTACCTGGCCAGGTGCACCTTAGGGTTCTGGGGAAGGACAGATGGCAGGAAGCTCTGGATCTAGTCTTCCTGTGTGGGAGGAGGGGGTAAAGATGGCGGCGGAGTGGGAGGACCCTGGGCTTGCCAGTGCCCTGAACACAGCGAGAGAACTCTCAAATCATCCTAAATACCCACAGAAATCCACCCAAACTCCACAACTAAAGGGAGAGAAGAAGCCACATTGAAGAAGGTAGGAAGTACAGAGACCTGGTGTAGGGGAGAAACAGATTCTGGCTGCTATGTTAAGGGGAGGGGAGAGAGCCATGGTCGTAGAGAAGGGCTGAGACAGAGGAGCACACAGGAGATCCGCACAAGGCGAACATTTAACCCAATGCCAGTGGCTTGGGAGGCGAGAGGGGCTGAAATTTGTGAGATTTTGCAACCAGCGGGGCTTAGAGCCTGGAGTTCTAAAGATCGGAGGATTTGGCTGGGCTAGAGCTCGGAGGGTGCCACCCTGCTCCTGGAGAGAAGGCGGGCAAGCAACTGGGGGGTGGTGGCTTGGAAACAGCCATCTGAAGAGCACCTGGGGCATGCAGGGGGCAGGTTATTCACTCTCCCCTCGAGAGGCAGCAGTCTCAGAGACAGACGCCTTTCTCGGAACAAAGGAGTTGGCCAGCACCATTTCCCTGTTGCCCCTCGGCATAAACAGAGCCACCAGTGGCAGGCAGCTCTGTGGGACACTGGCTGCCTAATCAGCTTACACCAAGCCTCCCCACCACTCTGGTGGGACTGCCCCTCTCCATCAAGCTTGTCGCCTTCCCAGCAGTGGTGGCCCCCTCCGCCAAAAGAACCAACACAAAGCCCTGCCCACACCACATCTCCTGATGGGAGTGTTCTGTAGGGCTCTAGTGAAAGCAGCGTCAGGTGTCATTTAACAAGCAGACCAAAGCACACCTAGTTAAAACTCAGCACATGATGGCCAGGGACCAAACACTGCTCATTGCTGGCAAGGATGCCTCTGCCGACAACTGGCCTGAAGGACAGAGCAGCCAAAACACAGCAGCAGAGTGCAGGCAGCATAGACCAGAGACACTAACTGAAGCACCAGGCCCCGGGGAACTCGGTGACCTTTTCTTCATAAGGCCATTTTCTGGCTTTTCTAACACAGAGAAGAAGGCAGATACTTAGATAAAATGTGAACATGGAAGAATTTAAACCAGATGAAAGAACAAAATAAGGCCATGACCAGAAATCTAAGAAAAGCAGGTACAATTGGCATGTCTGATAGAGAATTTAGAGTAACACTCATAAGAATGATCATTAGACCTGAGACAATTAAAAACTTCAGGGAGACCCTTACCATAGAGTTAAGAAATTGCATTTTAGAGTTAAAGAGGACAATAAATGAGACAGTAAACAGGTGTGATGCAATGAACCACAGGGTGGAAGAAGCAAAGGAACAAATTGGTGACCTAGAAGGTAATCAAGCTGAAGGAAAGAGAGACAAAAGGATTATGCAAAACAAGAATAGACTTAGGGAACTCAGTGACTCCACAAACAGAAAACATTTGTATTATACGGATCCCGGGGAAGAAGAGTGAGGAAAGGGGGCAGAAAATTTATTTGAAGAAGTAATAGCTGAAAACCTTCCTAATCTGGGGAAGAAGGAAGCAGATGTCCAGATCCAAGAGGCAAGGAGAACCCCCAACAAAATCAAGAAAAGCAGATCCACACCAAGATATATTATAATTAAACTGCCAAAATATAGTAGTAAGGAGAAAATGTTAAAAGCAGCAAGACAAAAGAAGATGGTTACTTATAAGGGAAAATTCATAAGGCTTGCAGCAAATGTTTCAGCACAAACTCTCCAAGGCAGAAGGCATAATATAGTCCAAGAGTTGAGTGGGATAAATCTGCAGCAAAGAATACTCTATCCAGCAAGGCTTACATTCAGAATAGAAGAGAAACAGAGAGTTCCACAGACAAACAAGGACTTCCTGTGTCAATGCTAAAATCCAAGGACAATTGCAATTTGGACAAACAATTACATATCCAAATAGATGTTGAACAGTAGAGAGAGAAAGCACATGCAAGAAACCTTGGGAGACTTCCTCCAGTCTGCCTTCCACTGAGTAACTCCCTCCATCCACCTATCCATCTGCTCATTGAAACACCACACCTCCCTTCCTCTTTCCCCCTCTCCCTCAACTGTCAGTTCAGGGAGATAGTGTCACATAGTGGTAAAGTCTACAGAGTACGGGCAGAGAGCCTGGATTCTCACCTCTTTTTAACTGCGGCCCCTGGCAAGCTACTAAATCTTGCTAAGCTTCAACTTTTCCATCTTTGAAATTAAAACTAGAACCTTCTCAGCTTTATTATGAAGATCACGACATAATTTATGTAAAGTGCTAATGATTCAGCATATAATGTTCAGAAAATAATGTGGGTTAGCATGTATTTAAAATAATCTAGATATTGGAGGGATACGTTATGTTCATGGTTTAGAAGACTCACTATTGTAATTTTCCCCAAACTAATCTTAAGGTCTGTGTTATCCAAATTTTTTTTGGTGGGGGGTGCAGGGATATCAAACTTCTAAATTTATATGGAAATGCAGAGGACCAAGAATCTCTTCAATGGGCAATTTGTTGTATTTCCTTCTTACCACGATGACCAGGCTATCCCTGATAGTGGAGGTTCTGTTAGCCCAGGTTTCTGGGCCAACACGAGGTGGAGCAGAGCCCTCCCCCATCTGAGGTGGAGTTTCAGTGTTGGCATGTGAAGGGCTGGTAGAGCACTTGGCTCTAGAGTGGACAGAGCTGCTTGCTTTCTCACTCTGAGCTGTCTGCAGAGGTCAAAACAGACCCCTGGGAACTCATAGAAAAACTACTTGTTTTGTGAAACACACAGTAATAAGTTTCCAAGTTGGAAAAATGTTATTCAACGTTGAGGATGATGCTTTTTGTTCACTGCTAAATGCTATATGCCTCTATGCCAAGCCAGGGACTATCAGATGAGTTACTGATGACTCATGAAACTATATCAAAGTTCAAAAAAAAAAAAGACAGAACTTAAACCACTGCAGCAAATGGTAGGGTGGGGAGAAGAAGTGAAGTGGGCACAGGAACCAGAAACATCTCGAAAGAAAAGAGCAGTTAGTTGCCAAGCCAGGGACGGGACGTGAAAAGGTGAACATTGTCATGTAGGTGTGGTTCTTTTCCTACCTCATATTCTTTGGATTTCAGACAGCCTGAGTGGTATGCCGAAGTTAAGGAAGGCAGTGCCTGATAACCGCTGATTTGGAAATCCTTTTCCCTCTGTGGGGTTGCTGTCCCTCGACATCTTCATTTCAACCATTCCAGATGCCCTTTCTTTCTCCCAGTAGTAGACATGATGTCCCTGGGTTTTTATGTAATTTAAATATTTTTTATTAAGATTTTATTCATTTATTTAACAGAAATGACAAGCAGGCAGAGAGGCAGGCAGAGAGAGAGGAGGAAGCAGGCTCCCCGCTGAGCAGAGAGCCCGATGTGGGACTCGATCCCAGGACCCTGAGATCATGACCTGAGCCGAAGGCAGAGGCTTAATCCACTGAGCCACTCAGGTGCCCTAAATATTTTTAAATTACAGTTTTTTCTTACTTTTAAAATTATTTGACAGTTTTGTCTTAATTTAATTTAATTTAATTTTTTTAAGATTTTGTTTATTTATTTGGCAGACAGAGATTACAAGTAGGCAGAGAGGCAGGAAGAGAGAGACGGAGAAGCAGGCTCCTTGCTGAGCAGAGAGCCCGATGCGGGACTCGATCCCAGAACCCTGGGATCATGACCTGAGCCGAAGGCAGACGCTTAACTCACTGAGCCACCCAGGCGCCCCTTTGTCTTAATTTTAAAGTTATTCGACCTTGATAGACTTATAAACCGGAGAATCACTTGATAGTCTTAATGGTAGTTTAAAGCTTAGAAACTAACATAATACTTTAATCTTCTTAACGGATATAGATTTAAGAGTTTCAGTTTCTCATTTTATGGCATGACTTGCGCTTTTGGCCATACATGCTGATTTTTTGGGCAGTTGCCTTTTCTCATTGCTTGGTTAAGAAGAAATCCAGTTGCCCAACAGCATACGCCGCTGTAAGCAGGTTGGTATAAGCCCTTGGGACTACTATTACAGAAATGTTTAAATACAGGAAAAGACAACATCTTTGACATAGGATAATTGAGCAAGATGGCACACTAAGTTCCATTAACCCTACACACTGTCTACTTCCCGGAATCTAAAACTCCACCACACCTTCCTTGTTATCTTTCAGTTCCTGTGCAGCTGAAGCTATGGGGCTATCACACTTAAATACACTTTACTCTTTACAGGACTTAGAACTAGTCATCTATGAGAGAGAGGAGACGCAGCTGTCAAACTATGAGAAGTTAATGAACTTAAATCTCCAAATGGAAGGTCTAATTACTAGGTCTGTCTAGTCTTAGATTCATTGTGTGACTTAGGAACAGTCACTTTTCCTTGTGCTTTTTCAGAATTCATAAAGTAAAATGATATATACCTAAACGCCTGCTTTATAGATCATTACAAAGGCTTGATAGAAAATTACTAAAAGCTTCTTTTAAAAAAGCAACAGCATGATCCTTTTAGTGTTTTTTAGGATGCTTTTGCAGTAGGATATGTAGGAATATATTAGGTGAGGGAAATATTATCAGGTTTCACTGTACAAAATATAAAGCGTATTAAGTATTATCCAATATCTAACAGGTGTCCAATCTCTATTACACAGGGAATGTACTGAAACCTATGAAGACATATGATTAGGATATGTATTTTAGGGCACCTGGGTGGCTCAGTTGGTTAAGTGACTGTCTTTGGCTCAGGTAATGACCTGGAGTCCCATGATCGAGTCCCGAATGGGCTCCCTGCTCAGTGGGGAGTCTGCTTCTCCCCTGACCCTCCCCACTCACATGCCCTCTTTCTCAAATAAATAAATAAATAAATAAATAAAATCTTTTTAAAAGAGAATATGTATTTTATATCATTTATACTACATTTCTGCTAAGCAGGAATCACTGTCAGTGGTGGACAGGGTAACGGTCCCAGAAAGATATTCACATCCTAATCCTCAGAACCAGTGAATATGCTACCCTCCATGGCAAAAACGGACTTTGCAGATGGGATTAAGGATCTTGAGATGTGCAGAGTATCCTGGATTATCTGAGAGGGCTCAGTGTAATCACGAGGGTCCTTCTGAGAGGCAGGCAGGAGGGTCAGAGTGAGGAGGAGTGACAGCAGAAGCAGAGGCTGGTGTCATGTGGGCCCCAGAGCAGGGAATACAGGAAAAGGCAAGGCAAGCAAAAGGATTCTTCTCTAGAGCATCCAGAAGGAACACAGCCCTGCCAATCCATTTAAGACCTCTGACTGCCACAACTGTCAGCTAATCAATGTCTGTCCTATTAAGCCACTAAGTTTTTGGTGATTTGTTACAGAAGCAGTAGGAAATGATTACACGATCTTTGATTGTCTGTCCTGCTAGTGAACGGAGGAAGCCCTGAATCTGAGGGCGAAAGATCGGTCTGTTCAAAGGTTTACATTGTCTGAAAGTTTTTCACTTCTTTGATGAACAAATTATCCTGACACTTGATTTTGACTTTAAGAACACTGGTTTCAGTGATTAAGTTTGCTTCTCAAACGTTTCCTAAAACCCTTGGTGGGTAGGATCGTTAGGGCATGCAGGAGAGTATCATTTAAAGTGCTCAACTGTTAATAGCTGGATGGATACAATACTGTTGTTTCCAAGAGCGGTGTGCAGATGAGTAGACTGGTCCCAGGGTGGACTCCATGTTCACACCCATAAGTGTGGGCCAGACCCATGACTTCTAACCGACTGAATATGGCAAAGATTATGGAATGTCACTTACCTGGTTACATTACCATACACATGACGTACACATGAGTGTATATGCATTTATATGTATACACACACATTATGTATATATCTACCATATAAGATATGTACACATGTTGGGGCACCTGGGTGGCTCAGTGGGTTAAGCCTCTGCTTTTGGCTCAGGTCATGATCTCAGGGTCCTGGGATCGAGCCCTGCAT